CCATATATATTTGGACAGAATCAGATCGGCAAAAGAGGATCCCCATATATGTTTGGAAAGAATCAAATTGGTGGCACAGAAAGCACGAAATAGATGCATTAGGTCAACCCTGCAAGAACGAGATTCAAGGTAAACCACATCATTACCTAAGATACATATAAGCTTTAGCCATTGTTCATCCTCTATTTATTTAATTACGGGGTTCCCTAAACATTAATGTTTTTTTTTTTTTAGCCCGCGATATACCGGCTCAATTCGGTGCATGCTAGAAACTAAATTTACTTCTATAGCTAACTATATATTTACAGGAATATCATCCCAACGCCAGAAAACGAGACAATTACTTATTGAGTCGAAAATCGAGGGCTCACGAATTCCGTGCCTATACAACCAAATAAATTTACGATATCGAATTATGACTGATCTTCAATGCAACGACCCGTTCGTCATAAATACAGTAGTCCACTTCACAGTTTCCTACGCCATCTTGAAAAGTATTCGTGCCTTTGCGTCGAAGCGAGACGAAGGGTGAGCTTGCAGTGAGACTTTTTTTAACACCTTGGACAATTATTCACATCTCTCTCTATTATTGCAAGCTCACTGTTCGTCTCGCTTCGAAGTAAAGGCACGGCTGCTTTTCAAGACGGCGCAGGGGACTGTGAAGGGGACTGTTTGTATGACGAAGGCTGAACATTTTTTATGTTAGGAAAAAATCACAAGTCTGTCGCTCTTAGTCTTGGTTGACGTCATCCAAGGGCGAACCCATGGCAGTCCATAAACACTTTTGTTCTTTCAATTTTTCTGGCCTGTCGATGAAATAGTAAATAAAAACGTAGTTGACCTCCACAATAACCTATTTGTCGCGACAATACCCCCCTCGCGTGTTACTGGAACTAGTATAACCTGTAATTACTTCTAATTCTTATTCCAGATTACCAGCTTTATCTCGGGATGATTCTAGCGGAGAAGAATGCCTACTGTTAAACCAAGGAAGCTAAGGCTCGRTCGACGGCTCTCGGAACCTGAACCGAAAATAGAAATGAAGAACTACATATATTACTTTATTTTAATAAACTTGAAATATATTATCAGATATTAAAGAATTATGAAATATTAATATATACAATAACTAAATAACTACTTAGATTTATTTTGATAAACTTGAAAATATATGTTCAGATATATATCAGATTAATGAAATATTCATATATACATAYGAAATAAATCTAAATATTTGAAATGAACCAAAAAGGTAGTGTGTTAATTAAAGTTCTGTTCACCCTTCTGACAATTATCGTATTAGGGACTGTGCAATAATTATCGGGAGGGGGGTTCTAAAATTCCAAATTGGGCTTAAATTGAAGCTAAACCCCCCTGCCCCCTGTGCTAAACGTAAAATAACTTCTCACCCTTCCCCCTTTTGAAATGAAATAACTATCAACCCCCCCCCCCCCTCCCATCATGATACATCGCGACAATGCAAATTGTGAGATGTAAAAATGAGGCAAGTTGTGTTCTTTATACAGTAAAAAATATAATGTTTATTTTAAATAGTATATTTATATGCATCTTTTCAATTTTATAGTGAAAAAAATCCCAAATTGACTAATGAACCCCCCTCTCCATATTAAAGCAATTAGCTTCTAACCCCCCACCCTACACTCCAATTTAACTTTTGACCCCTCCTACTAGTTTTAGAAACCCCCCCCCCCCCCATACATGGGATAAAATGTTGAATGACCCGAAAAATTTGTATAGTTTGAGTGAGGCTTATAAACGTTTTTCTAAGCCATATGCTAATGACTGCTAAGAAGATTTTGCCTGTGTCGAGACATTCTATTAGCTTTATAACGAGGTTGAGTAAAGGAATGGGTCGAGATGGATTTGCTGTGTATTTTGGGACTGTTTTAGAATACGTTATAGACGCCATCTTGGAAATATAATCCCTAAATCAGTCCCACAATGCACCGCAATACCAACTCTACCAAATCTTTTCCTCAACCGTTGGACATTGGAACTCCAAATCTACAGTATGAATGGCTGAATCCGTCGCTTTTCTGTGCAGGTCTAAATATTGTTTTTGTCTCTATTTTTGAGAATATATTTTCCGGCTTGAGCAGTTTTCATGACGGTCGTGACACAGCAAGTCATACACCAGACCAATCACATTGCACGAGAATTTACTCTCTATCCAACCAAATACCCGGAACACGGCAAGAACACGGCGCGGGCACGGTCACGCAAAGGTCACGGCAGTGTCAGACCGATCACATTGCGCGAGAAAAAATCAGCCAATAGACCTTATTTATGGTGTGACAATGTTTTCCCAATTCAGCGTGACGAACCTCCAGAGGATTCATGTTTTCTTTTGTTTTTACTCTTCGAAAAATTAATGAGTATCCCAAAGGATACGAAAGGAATGACGATGATATCTCGACGAGTTTCGAAGCAATAGCTCTTCATTCCCCCAGAGGTCACGCTGAATTGSGAAAACATTGTCACACCACGAATAAGGTCTATTAAAAGTCTAGAAACCATCACGGTCACGGCCTATCACGGTTACGACCCTGAGCTTTTCACAGTCATTCGAAAACTGCTCTAGTGTAATATATTTATAATTGTTTGGTCTAAGAGATCTGCCCCAAACTCCTCATAAGCAATCACACTAAACATTAAACGATGAAAAATAGTAAATGAAAAAATGAGTCATAATATTTCGAAAGAAAGAAAAATAGGTATACAGATGTTTATTTTAAAAATGCTATTTAGTGGCTTAAAAAACCATCTGTGATAAATTTGCTATAAGATGAGTAATAATGTACATGGAAGAGAGCAAGTGATCGAGCGAATTAAAAGTTTGCCAAATTCGCGCTGGATTACGTTTGTCCCATCTTAAATAAGCTTCAAGAACTTAAGTCCAGCATAGAATTCTTATTGTCTATTTTAACTAAACTGGGTTTTCTTAAAGGCTAAGCCTAACTTGGCTGCAATAATGATCGCTTTCACTTATCTCTGATTTGTATACATGTATATATCACTATTATTACAAACAAAATCATCGTCGTCATCATCGTCGTCGTTGTCATCAACCTTAGCATAAAAAAGCCCTGTTTTCATGATAGCCTTACCACTAGAGTTACCATAGTAATAAAAACGTATAACGTAATAAAGTAACAAGTAGAATACTCACTCCAATTCGACCTCTCTTTGGTTGCGAGAGGAGCGAAGCAAGAGTAGTAATTTGATGTCGCTAAAGGACTTTGAGAAAGTCTATGACTTACGTTTAACCGAGCTACACCTATAGGGCTAAGCTTCCATGCGTTTTCTCCCTCATTTCAGAATTTAAGGCCTTTACAAGCGCACCCGGGTTACCTATAGGTTACCCTAGTGACAGGGTTAACATTTCTGCTCGCAGGTTAATGTTTTTCCTGTAAACTCGTGGCTATACTAGACATAACCTGCCTTCCCGGATCAACTTTTGATCAGTTCTCAAAATCCCTGTACATTGGCGGAACCAGGMTTTTACAAAGGGGGCTTTCAAAATGGTTCCAAAATGGCCGCCTCGTATAAAAAGCTGGTAAGATTGGTTTCATGAAGGGGGGTTCCAATGGGCATTCTACTGAGCATAAAGAACATGATTGGCTTCACAAGATCTCACAAAACTGGGGCTCCATGGCACCCAGAGAACCACCACTTGATCAGCCACTGTTGTACCTCAAATAATATAAATACCAGTAAATGAATGCCTACTGAATCGCTGTATTCAATAGATCTTAAAATAGAAATTGCCACCAATAACCAGCTCTACAATACAGCCGAGATATCCGACATACTATGGTTACCTATCTATATTGAATGTTTGCCTGGCACTGCATCAGTGGAGGGTGACGCTGGCACTAAAGGCTTCCATTCCTACTTGTAAAATGTCCTAAATCCAGCGAAAGAGATCTACATTGGGACTTTTAAAAGATTACACATCCATAAATTAAACTGATACCAACTCAGTGTTTATATAAAACCAGGATATTTTCGAAGGACATTCTCTATTTCTTTTTCCAATTTGTCTTCTTTTACTTTCAATTAAAATTCTTTTTCAAATGATAATATCTGGAATCTTTCAGATAAACATCTGGAACCGCAATTACAGCTGTCTTTCAGGGGTTTTATTTCGGTTAAGTGGGATAAATTCTAACGTGTGAATTGATTTTGATATCACTACCATCACCAAACAAACTTTTTCAATTTCACAATCACTCAAAGATGTTTTAATAGCAACGCTCATGCCATATCTTGCTTTCTGAAACTATGGCAACCGTGTTACTTTTTATTCCAG